ATGACTAAGGCTAGGCAAAGAGACACACTTCAAATCTGTAGTTTGTCTTCAGGAGTGTTTTACAAAAACTACTTTTCCAATAATCAGTATACATACACACACCAGCACTATGCAGTAGTGGGAAAAAAATGGAAAACTACTCTGTGGTAGTTTGAAAGAAAACAGTTCCCAAAGGGAGTGGCCCTATTAGGAGGAAGTGTGTCACCTGGGAGTGGGCTTTGAGGTCTCTTTTGCTTAAGCTTCCCTCACCGTGACAGTTGACTTCCTGTTGCCTGCAAAATGTGGCACTCTCAACTCCAGTACCACATCTGCCTGCACACCAACATGCTCTCCGTCATAACAGACTGAACCTCTGACACTGTAAGTGAGTCCCTACAATTAACAGTTTTACTTTATAAGGGTTGCCACGGTTATGGTGTCTCTTCACATCAATGAAAATGCTAAGATACACCCTGAGTGAGCAGGTACAGAAACACAAGCTCTCTAGTAAGCTGTTACTTGGGTCTCAGAGAAGGACATAGGCTCTGCTCCAAACCCAAAGGGCAGGCAGAAACTGTTGCAACTGTAGCATAGTAGGTAGTGCTACAACAAGCCACTGTTGGACATGTGGCATGTGCCACACCCCTAAAGGAAACACAACTGCACAACTACATGTCTACATGTGACAGACAGGAAGGGGCTACAGGGATCTAAAGAACAAGACGGGGCAAGAAAACTGCATTCTATGGGTAGTTGTGTACCTTGAACTCTTTCTACACACTGGACCTGTTTTACTTTTAGCATAACATAGTACAATATTGGGAGCCCAGTAGAATAGCTACCTCGACAGGTTACATCCATAGCTCATCCTTGCATGAGGGATGCCTTGGATGCCCTAACCAATAGAAGGCCTTACCTGGAACCAATCAAACCAATATGCTATGTGCAGCCCTACAATCTCAGTACATGGAAGAAAGACAGGATCAAACTTGGTGTGGAGGCACATGCTTTTAATCCCAGCACTTGGGAAGCAGAGATAAATGGATCTCTGTGAGTTCAAGGACAGTCTAGTTTATGAGGCAAGTTTGAGGACAGCGAGGGCTATGTAGTGAGACCCTATACCCCCCACCCACCGCCAAAAAAAAAAAACACAACCTAGTCCATCCTAGCATAGTTGGAATCTAGTAAATGTGATCTTAGAAACAAGCCAGCTGTCCTGCGAGCTCTCTTTTGTCAGTGTTACCCTCTCATTGCTGTGTGACCATGTGGCAATTCTGGCTTCTCTGTAATAACCCTAATCCTGGGCAGGAAGGTAGGCTGCTTTACACAGGACTCAGTTCTTGAGTAGAGTTCTTGAGCTTACCACAGGGACTGCTCTTGAAGCCCTACATCCAAGGTAGCGGGGAGACAGGGCAGAGGCCACTCATCCATCTCAGGACTCCATAAGCCTGATCTCACAACTACCTCCAAACTCAGCTTGAGCTTTTGGCAAAGCGTTGAGGTCAGGGACCCTGACAGACAAGTAGGAGACCTAAGCCAGGGTCAAAGGGATCCCTGACTTAAAGAAAACATTTTAGCTGACCTCAGGTGTGGAAGCATCAACTAAAAATAAGTATAAAAAGCATCCTTTGTGGCTGGACATCTGGCTCAGTAGTAGTTTAGAACATGAGATTCTGGATTTGGTTCACAGCACCATGATGGGATATAACAAAACCTTCCAACATCAAATTATCCCGACAACAGGTTATTATTATTTTTTTCTTTTTTGGTAACTGGTGAACAAAAATGATCAAAATGAAGTTTACGGCTGCTTGTCACAGAATGAGTGGGCTCTGGAATGTGGCATCTGCCCTTCTTTCCAGGAGCAGACACCTCTGAGGTGGGCAGTAGGGTACCAGGTAAGACCATAAATTTGGCACGGGGCACAGATCAAAAGGCTTGGCGGTGGGATTCTTGTCTGAGATGAACACAGCTTGGTTGGGGATGGTTGGCAGGTTAGTGGCTGGAGGAAGAAAAGCAGACGGAGTGCCAAACCACAAAATCCCAACTTACTATCTTTTAGTCACTTAACAAGCATCTGTATCAATCATGTAGTGACAAACAGGAACAGAGATCTAAGTGCTGTCTGTACCTGGGTGGCAGGACTTGGGTAGGAGCTTCTTTGGGCTTATCTGTATTTGGATAGGCCTGTCTTGGACCACCTGTGTACTCCTCACAGGGATCCAAGAACTACCCACCTTTTGGTGTGTGTAGGGGGGGGCGATTAGAACTGACAGGCTTGGGAAAATGGTGAGTATGAGAAGACTGTCCCTCCAGTCCTTAGACGGTGCACAAAGAGGCCTGTTAGAGTGGGCAAGTTGGGGAAGCAGATTGCTTAAGTAGCATGGGAAAACAAGTGCCTGTATACCAGTCCAACACTTTCACCCCTGAAAACTGGTCTCTGGACAAGATGTCCAGCAAACAGTATCATTCCTGAAACTGGCTCAAAGTCCTCGGTGTGTTTCTGACAACACAACTGACAGCCACTAGAGGCATGTTCCTTGTGCTTCGCTTGACAGAACAGGAAGCTGGAGACCTCTACAGTGTGTCAGAGCGGGACACAGCCCCTAACTTCCTGTTCTCCGTTTTGCCACCGGGCACCTCCCAGGGCCTTTTTACCTTCCTCCACAAAACCCTTTGCAAAGACGCTCCACCTTCTATGTCCTAACCCCTCCACGGCGCTTTTCTGGGCGTACGGCTGTCCCAACCCGGGCGAAAAGCGCCACTGAGCACCTTCCCGTTTCATCCAAGCGCGCATAAGGGAGTCGCCTGGGAGCTCCCCGAGTTCCGCACCTGGAGAAGGGCGTGGGGCCGGCGCCCTTGAGTTGCAGCTCCCAGCGCTCGCCGGCGGCAGTGCACACCTCGCCCAGGTATATAGCGGCGCCGTCGCCCAGCTGCCCAGCGAACTGGCCGAACTGGTGTCCACAGTAGCAGTGGGCAGCTGGCTCG